AGATATTTCAAACTTTGCTTCTGAAAGATATTTCAAAATTTGTTTGCGTCTGACAGATATTTAAAAGTTTGTTTGCGTCTGACAAATCTTTTAAACTTTATTTGCATTCGACAGAGGGTTTGGGAATCCCACTCTGGATCACGTCGTACATCCTTTGCCAACGTTTACTATTTTCTTCCGTCCAATGCATGGCCCGGGGTAAATAGTGTTGTCCAATCTCTAAAATTTGTTTCAATCGTGCTTCGGTGGGTTCACCGTGCATCACTCGTTCTTGAAACACCATCGATTCCAATAAAACGTGAATCACACAATCATGAGGGGGCTCTTCTCCCCGAGAACACACTAAACAATCTTGTTCACAATAGCATGCATCCGAAACAACAGACATGGTCGGACACGATAGATTGAAAAGAAACAAAATTTCAAAGCACCCTACACTAGACGAGTAAATGAAATGAGGGTGGTAGAAAGCTTTTAAACTTTTAAAGAGCAAGGAGTTGTAATACACGCAGCACTCGAAGAGAAGAACTCTAGCTAGACAAGAAATAAATTTATCTTTAAAAAAAAAAATTATTTTTTAGAGAGAATATTTAAGAGCAAACACTTTGCAGATTACATTTCAAAGCAAATAATTTGCAGCTTCTCTTTTTCAACATGACCGACACGGACGATGTGTTGAGCCTGTTATCCACCCCTGGTTCCCCTTTGCCCTCCATGGCTTCTCCTTCACACCCTGAGTCTTCTCATGAGCCCCCAAAACTAAACTCTCCCCAAGACCCTCGACAACGACGTCGTTTCTCCTCGTCTCGGCGACGCCCTCCTTATGCTTATCGATTTCCCCAGCACCACGCTCAAGTCTTTTTCCATACGCACGGTCTGGCCGTGTTGTGTCTCCGAGACCATGGTTTCACGCTCACCAACGGGGTCGTCTCGTATGCTTCGGATCGCGTCGGGGCGCATGAAGTGTTCAACTCTTTACATTATCTCAATGTCGGCACCCTCTGTGTGACCGACTGTCGTTCCAAGCAAGACTTTTGAGACCTTCAAGCAAAATGGAGCGCTTTCAGTCTTTTCAAACGCATCCCCGTCATGCTCTTGAAATCCCATGCACGAGGCGAATGTCCCTTTTGCCACCAGACGCAATGTCATCGTTGGATTGCCGTGCAAGGCATGTGTGCCATTCTCCACCAACCTCTCAACCCCATTTTTCACTCGCATCCTGTCTGAAAAACGTATAAAAGGAGGACGTGTTTCGACGCTTCTCCTCAGTTTGCAGCATGGATGCCTTCCCCGAGCACCTCTCCTCCACCGTGGTGCCCGTGACGCTGCCCGAGAAACCCGATGCGTTGGAATATGCCGCTCAACAGGGCCAGGTGCGAGTGCGCATCCTCTACCAGGAGCCTCACGTTAAACGCGTGTTTACCTAATTTCGTCAAGATCCGTGGTACCACCAAAAGACGTTGATGGACAATTTCAAGCGGGCCGTGCTGGAAGCCAAGCACGCCAACGAATTTCGACCCAACGCGATCCTGTGGGGAAAAGTGTCCAAAAACCTCTTGAAAAATCCAGATCGTTTGCTCAAAAATACCGACAAGAGGATGGTCTACATCTATGGCAACATGTTTTTTGTGAAAAAAGACTTTACCTTTGGGTTGAGAACGGTGCACCCCGGAGAGGTGCATTTCATTCAAACGACGCAGGTGCCCCTGCTGCTCTACGAACTGCCCACTTCCAGTCTCCAGTGTCGAGCCCGACCCAACGTGAACAAGAAGAGTTTCGAGCCCTACGACCAAATGCTCTACCATCGGACCGTCTTGGAGCCGCACACGGCCTATCCGATCCCTTCGGGAACCCACTATTTGCTGTTGACGGTTCAAAAAACCGTTTTTGGTCTGGACCTGATCTCCGAATCCCTGCTCCCTCAGCTCCTTCAGAAGGGATTTCACCTGGGAGATTTTCGAAGAAAAAAAACGTTGGATCAAACTGCCTAGAAGCTACCACCTCCGACCCCAGTGCTTGGACTGAAGCGATCTGGGGAGGAGACGCGCCCCTCCAAGAAACGAGGATGCATCCAGAGACCTGGGCCTGTGCAGATTCCACAACCTGAGCTACTCTATCCCCAGCCTGTGCAGATTCCACAACCTGAGCTACTCTATCCCCAGCCTGTGCAGATTCCACAACCTGAGCTACTCTATCCTCAATCTGTGCAGATTCCAGAACCTCAGCTCCTCTCTCCGCCACCTGTGCAGATTCCAGAACCTGAGCCGATTCCAGAACCTGAGCTCCTCTCTCCACCACCTGTGCAGATTTCAGAACCTGAGCCGATCCCAGAACCTGAGCTCATCTCTCCAGACCCCGTGCCAGAGCCCGAAGCTGCTTGGCTCGACCAACTCCTAACGTCCTTCTCTGGACCGGAACCCTCGGTGCTCCACCTGGTGCCCTCGCTCTTTGATGAAAACAATGAACTCATCACCTTCCTGGAGACTTTTGAACACGATATGGCGATGGAGCCCCTGGACTTGTCAATGCCCAAACTCTTCCCTTTTATCCGACCCTCTGTTGGATTTAAAGCCATGCAACCTCTGAATCTGTCTTGTAGAGTATGATCATGATCAATAAAAAAATGATTCTTTTTTAAAAAACACAAGTCTCCTTCTTTGTGTCCGAATGATACAATATTTATTGGACCCGTTGCAAACAAAAAGTATTATTTTTTAAAAAAGCAAGTCTTTTTCTCTTTGTGTCAGAATGATCCAATATTTATTGGACCAGTGTCGACATCGCACGACGATCGTGTTTGGCAATTTGGGTTGCTGGCCCGATCGAGTCACGTATTACGAGCACGACTATCCTTACACCATCCTCTTTGAACCCAATTTCGGAGTGCACGTGCCTCGGTCGTTTGGAAAGACCGTGGTCGTGTTTACCAGTCATTTGGATTTGACGTGGGATCCAGGCGTCGAGTTGAGATTCTTTCAACTGGGTCGTCCCCCGTCTCGCCGAGTTTGGGAAGCCCATCAACCTCACAATAAGGAGGCCTATACGTTGAATCTCACAAACTGCACGCGCCTAGCGGAGGTGTACGTGAGACTATTAACGTGGTTGGATGATTGGGAAATGCATCGAGACGACCAACTTCCTTGGCGCCTGGTCATGCCCCCAGCTTGGAAAGGGGCGTTGGTACCCCACGTGGAACGCTCGCATCGCAAGGCCTTGGAATATGGGATGCCAGTTGAAGTCACGCTCCTCGAGCCTATATAACGCCAGCCTCTATATATAGCCAGCAGAATCATTCTTTCTCAAATGCAACATGTCTCATCTAGCCTTTTTTGCTCATGTCAACGTGTTTCATCGTGGGGGTAAGCCTGTCCCCATCGAAGTCTCCATTGCCAGCATTTCGGAGGATCCACAAGTCATGTGCATCAACGTGGATCATTCCAATTTGATCACCACCTCGAAAGATGACCGGGCCAATCGGTATATCAACGAACGTCTCCATCTCAAAAACCACCTGCCTGGATCCTTGCCCCTCGAATACCTCAGCTTTTGCGTCAGGTTTAAATTTGGTCAGCTGGCGCAAGGCAATCGAGGCCTCATTGTGGTCAAGGGAACCGACCAGCGCAAACTCTTTGAGCAGCTGGGGTTGTTTACCATCAGCTTGGAGACGCTGCCAAAGTTCCAGGATCTCCATGACCGTACGCTACCCGATCACCTGCACGATGAGGTGCACGAAAATTATGACATTTCCGAGTGCACCATGGTCAAATCTTACCGGTTTGCGCGTTATCTACAGCATTTCAACAAGCTGCAGGCCGAATGTCAGAAACAAATGGCTGATTTAGTGGAGTAAATGTGGAACATTGAACTGTTAAACTGTACATATTGAACATTGAAATACTAAACTCTACCTATTAAACTGAACCGAAAAAAGGGGGACCGAGTCGACACAAGAGTCGACTCGGTCCCCCTTTTTTTGGGTGAAGGAAGGTGCCAACGTTGGAGAGGGCCTCTCTTTGAAAACTTGTACTCAAACGAAAGATACATTAGACACTAAACCATTGAAACTCACCTACCCCCTCCGTGGCACGACAAGATGGGAACGTCGTGAGATGGCTCGCCTCCAATGTTCTAACAACACCCCTATTGGAATGATTCTCTGTCTTTTCTCGACATACCAACGTTGTAATGCCTACATTTCATAGGTCGCTGCTTTCCCCCAGCTTGACTTGTCTCCCTTTCATTTACCCTCTCTGACCTACCTCCATTACATGGGTCGTTGCTTTCACCCAGCGTGACAAGTCTCCATTTCATTTGTGGCTCACCCCCTCCATTTTCATCCTTCGTCTAGGATGAAACTTTTTTTTTCTCGCGCCCCATCCAACATATTTTTTTCAGAGGAATTTGAAAATTTTTTTCGATAAACACACCATAGGGGACACGATTCTGACCAAAAGAGCCCTTTCCAAAAAGGTCGTTTTCCATTTTCAATCATTTTTTGAAAGGGTCACGGTGCTCGACTATTTTTTCGACCGACTGTAGCACTACTTTATCCTATATATTTTATTTGTGAGAATATAAGTAATGTCTGGGGACATTAGGATCTTGGAATATCACGCTCTAAAGCAACACTAGGGCTATTGGTGACCTTCCTCGTAATTTTGAAACACAGTCAAGTAACGAAGATGACATCTGAGATGGCACCCTCACTCCAAACTTTCCCAACACGCCGATGAGAGGACTTTGAGCCTCGATATATTTAACGAATCTCAGCCCCTTCCCGTACACGGTAGGGTGAGTGAGTGAATATTAACGTTCCACTGTTCAGCTACACGAGGGCTTTTTGGAACGGTCCGCGTAATTTTGAACCATGGTCAAGTGTCATGGATGACACATGAACTGTCACCCCCCCCTCTCCTAACTACCACACCACACCAACGGGAGGACGTTTGAGCTCTCGACAGATTTAACGTGCATTGCTCCCCTACACAGCAGGGAGGATCTTCAGCAGAACCAGACTTGAACTGATGACACGCGAGCTACGAGTCCCTTACCTAGACCACTAAGCTACCATGTCCACCATGTCTTGCTAAAGTTCATATTTATAAAACTATTGTTAAAAAATACCACATATTGGGAACAAAAACAATAACTGTTAAGAACTAAAAAAAATTTCAAACCAAAAAAAGAAATCACTATCAGGATGTAAAAAAATTAATGGTGAAATGTTATGAATCCGATTATTTAAGTGTGTTGTTAATATATTTGAGTATATTGAAAATAATTTGAATAATTTTCAATATATAAAAAAATCTCAAGTCTTATTTGTGAATTTAATTGACCAAGGAAGTTTAAAAATGCATGAGTTAAAAATAAAGTTGAAATAAAATTACAAATAGCTTCCAGTGAAAAAAGAATTATTTCTGATAGATTTATTATCGTGGTCATGCAAATTTGCATCGTAAGCATCTGCAATAAAACACTGCCGTCAAATTATTTAACCTGTTTGTAAACTATTTTCATTTTGCTGCCATGCTTATCATATTTCATTTTCACAATACGTGCATCGCTCCCCTACATGGCGGGTCTTCAGTGGTACCGAGATCGAACTCATGACATGCTAGCCACGATCCGATGCCTAATCCACTTGGCTACCACGGCCCGTACACGGTAGGATTTAAGACACCATGACTACTAGGCTACTGAGGCTAGAACTGAGAAATTGATTATATACGCTTAAAAACTATTAATCGAATGGTTAATCAATGTTTTATAATAATAACCTCAAGGTTTTAGTCATTCTGACTTAATTCTGTAAGGTATCCGACTACCCTAAAATTGTAATTTTTGCCAAAAATTGACAATTTTTTTATGATTTTATTTTATTAACCATCTTATATTAGCTTTATAAAAATACCAAGCATATTATTTTCCATTCACTAAAACAAAAACTACAAGTGTTTTAGGAAAAACAGATGTCTTCACTTTAAGGAATATGTCATGTTTTAAAACGCGTTTTTATCAAATATATTGTTTTTCAAATGCTCAAACGGGTCACAATGATGGTTTAAAAAGTTTTCAAGATAATTAACAGAAAATTTTTATGTATGTACTGTATAATAGTAGAAGTGTTTTAACCTTCAGATTTATTCATTACTGTTTAATTACAAAATTTACAGTCCCTTATGTTAATACTTTTTTTCTAATGGGGCTGGCATTGGTATTTTTAAACTTTGCAGACCTAGTACATTCCCCTGGAGCTGGTATCACTTTTTAGCGCTGCACCATTCAGGCGATACCAATTACAGCAAGCAATTTTGACGCCCATTTTCCTCCACAGAGGGAGGCACCTGAGCTCTTGACGATGTGAACCTGTACTAGGATTTAATTTTGCCGAGAGCATCCAAGCCAAACAGACACTCTAGGGATCTTTTACATGCCGCATAATCATACGACATGACCGCTGTCGATTTTCAGCATCACGAATATCCCCCGACTTGGGCCGGGGTCGAACCCGCAACCTGGGGTGCAGAAGGCCAGCGACAAACCAGCCACGACACCCCGCCGGTCTTGTGTTAGAATAATCACTGTTATTTTAAGCAATTTCTTGTAATAATTAAGGTAAAGTACTCTAGTTTTTGTAAAAATTTAAAAAAATCTCTTATCCTTAAGGTCATTTGAAAAATGAACAACATAGCAACACATCAGAGTTGAAAATTTTAAAATTTGTTCATAAATATTTGGTACAGAATGTCCCATGTTTATGTTATTTTTTGTGAATTTTTACCAGTTTTTTCCATTTTAGTAATAATAAAATTTCTTTTTATCTTACTAATTTTAGAATATTTTTCTTAAAATATACTGTATAAATCTGAAAACCACTAAACACCACACAATCCCCATTTTTTTTTTTTTTTTTTTTTTTGTCGCAAGTTGTCGGTACTTTAAGACATGTTATGTCCTATTTCAATACATAACTATGATTTTATTATAATATTATTTATGTTTCAATGTCCCAAGATGGTTTGGATTTTCCTCTCAAAAAGTACTACTGAGTGATACGACATAACGAAATAAATCGTATTATTTTAAAATCAGACATCAATAACATTTTCGAAGATAGAAGCTCGAAACAATTTCTTGTAAAGCGAAACCTTTTTCTCTTCATGTATCTGTATCAATCATATCAAATTTCTAATTTATGTCTTTTCTAATCTATCTTACTATATCGATCAAGTCTTTGCCATTGACATAGATTTACTGTTCACTTGACCCGAGAATGTTATAAATCACTTATCATTTTTTCCCCACAGTATCACAAAAAATAATTAATGTTGGTATTTAATACAAAACTGGCCTAATATTATTTATAGTATTTTGGAACGTTAGTTATTATTATTATTATTATTATTATTAATGTATACAACGTTAATTCAGTATGTGCGATTATTAATATCATTATTATACCTCTATTTATTTATATGTTTTAGAACTAAAAGAACGCTAATCATTACTGTTTTCCTAAATTGATGAATTGCTTGCTTATTAACTACGCAATTCGAAGAAGCAAAAGGTATGTGGGAGACGCACCTCGCAATTTTGAGTTATGTTCAAGTAACGAGGGCGTCGCCGGATCTGGAACTGTATTTTCTGAAATTCTACGTATCAGCTTGAGGATGACTGGCCGTGCATCAATTCTCTACGTGGTAGGTTTTTAATAGATTCAGGACTCGAACATATATGTTTCGACGAAAACAATATTGGTGTGTGGGGGGCTACGTTATTGACATCTGAATCGTATATTCAAAAACTATTCTTATACCCCTCACCATTTGATTTAAAAATGAATATCTAAAAAGGAAGTACATTTATCGTTTACACCCCCAAATCCCCTTTTTAGGAGTCAATTTCTGCTAATTTTGTAGCGGTTCTTTACTCAACAAAAGATGCCTGTATGCCAAATTTCAAATCTTCAGACCTTACAGTTCAGAAACGGGAATTTTTGCTTCTAATGCCCCTGCAGCCTCTCTTGGCGATTGATTTTGCAAAACTCCATTAAATTCCTGTCAAATTTTTTATTCCGGAAAAAAAACAGCGTCGAAATTAATTTAACAACTAGATCGGTTAGAGTTATTGGTTATTGACGAATACTGTGGTTTATTACAAATAAATATCTTGTTACGCATTTTGTCTAAAGTATACTTAAAATAGTGTAAATAATTTATATCAGGATGCGCAATATGTTTATACACTCATGGACAAAAAAATTAGTGCACCAAGAAATAATTGCGGGATCGTAACGAAATTTGGTAGGAAGGTACATATCGGAGAGTAATGCAAAGGATTAGACATGCAGCACGATTGCGCATTACGTATAACCGGTAAAGGGCATTTAACGTAGCTCTCCATGGAGTATAAAACAGGTAACCAAAGCTTGTTTAAGTGTGCTCAATCATTCACAAAGGAAGCGCTGAGGTAGACATGCCATTACGCCGTTTTCGAGGACAATATGAGCAGCTGTCGCAATTTGAGAGGAGGAGAATCATCGGCATGAAGGAAGCTGGGTGGTCAGCTAGGCGAGGAGCTTGTCAATTAGGCCACTCGGGTTGTGTTGTGAGGAGGTGTTGGGACCAGTGGATCCGAGAGATGTCATTTACACGAAGACCAGGCTCAGGATGCCCTCGACAGACCCTGAGTGTATTTCTATATGTTGTATTTATTTTTATGTTAAAAATTGTAATATTCGCAAGCAACGCCGTTCCTTACATTATAATGGCGATTTAATGGCGAAATCTTGGCGATAAAGCCAAGTTGGGATCATTTTTGGGGACCATTTTGGCAAATTCGTGATCCTATGGATTCTTCTAAAAATTAGTGGAGAAATCCACTAATATCAAGATCTATGATGAAAGCGGATTTTTCTCGGAAGGTCCGCGAGGCATATAAATAAGGAGAAGCTCATCGAAACTGAGTCAGTATTGTTTTGACTAGTGATTAGTAGTATTTCCTTGACTGAGAGCTTTTGAAGGTGGGAAGACCCAAGATTTATACTGCGAATTTTGCTGTGTATCCTGTATTTCAAGGATTTCTTTCGGCAATAAATTTTCATCGTTCTTAATGTAATTTCTTGTTCTTTACGACTGACTGCATAAAATCTGAGCCCTAATCTACGTAACAATATGTATAATTTAAAAAAAATTGAAACTGAACCCCGTAAGTTTTATTAAAATATTTTTACATATTGTTATTCAATAGTCGGATAACCAAACATTTAATTTTGGTTCACGAATTTGACGTATGTTTGCTCTAGATTCAAATCAAACTCAATTACTCAAATAACAAAGTTAATTTAAAACCAAACTTTCTGTGTCCCATTAGTAAATTTTAAAGAATGAAATGAGAGGGATATTAAATATTATGTCAACATACTTCCACAAACACATATTCTGCAATCACTAGTAGCGGTTCGAATTTAGAACACTAGTTCCCCAAAGAGTTTCGCGCCTAATAACTTCGAATTACTTTTTAACTGGAAAAATGTCAGACACAGAATCAAGAACTATATGAAGCATAGCAACCCCCTATCTAATTATGTTTCCTGTCAAAGACGTAATGAGGTTTTAGTTTGAATTCTGTTTCTTTACAAATGTCAGAAAAGACTGAATGGAACTGAACATCTTTCAAATTTTGGAAGGAATTTATTGGAATGGATGAGAACTTAAAAAGAGAGACAAATTTATTTAAAACATGTTCGACGCGGTTTGCATTTTCATTAAAAGATGAAAATGCCTTCTTCTATATATTTTTTTGTTTTTGTTTTTGTAATAGCGAATTTCTCACTATTGACTCTGACCATCTTTTGTCAAAGGTCATAAGAAATATGCAAATCCTGAAATAAGTTTCCGATTCCTGTTTAATATTATAAGTTATTGATAGTTACTTGATGCGAATTATAGTGATATTAATTCGCGATCGCTTACGCAGAGAGACTTTCACGAACCAATAAATCAAATTCTGAAAAGCATTAAACACTAAATTTATTACATTAAAAAGTGATAGGTATTTGATAATAG